ATGTGTGTGTGTGTGTGTGTGTGTGTGTGTGTGTGTGTTTGTGTGTGTGTGTGTGTGTGTGTTATGTGTAATACACTATCTTAAATAGATAGATAGCAGGGGCGGCTGGTCCTTAGAGCACGGTCGTGCACTGCCGCCCAAAAGTTTTAGCGCACAACACCCTCAAAGTGACAACAAAAGAACCTTTACCATCCATCATCCAATCAGTTTTACGTACAAGTTCCTCGCCAGAGCCTATACACTCCTTACAACATCTACAACAGCTCTACAACATCTAATATACCAAACCAAGTTCTTTTGCTTCACCCAAGTAAAAAATAGTATGTTCAGTGGTGTAATCTATCTCGGAAAATGCTCTATGGGACGACCCAAACAACGATGACGTTTTGACCGAGTTTCTTAGTTCCTAAATATTAATAAGGCGGCACAATCTCGACGTGCAGCAGCCGAACAAAGCCCATAGAGGCAGTCTAAAAATAACGCAATCTCAAACCAGTTCACGACAGCCTACACAAATCAATGCCCGTATTATGATAGCTTTGGAGCAATCCACCGGAGTGCTCCCAGTGATGTGCGATTGGTCCATTGTCTTGCCATTTATATCTCTAGCCCCACCTCTGTAACCCTGAACTTGAGCGAGATCAACATGACGTAATTAGGTCATTGTGTTAGAAGTTGGAATGGTGTAGTGGTGAAAGTTTTATTACTCGAGTGCCTATTCCAATGCAGGATGAATGAAGTTGATTGCAAATAAATTCAGTTCACCAAACAAAGTAAAAAAAAGAGAGTGACCGAATTAAGTCCTCACCAAACTAAAAATATCAAAATAATAAAATGAATAAAAAGTGGAATGGCTTACACAACAAATCATACTCCTTGTAGACCTAGATTAGGCCTACTGTTTCTCCTGTCTGCTTTTTTGGAACTGAGGACCCTAAGTAGTCTAAGACAGGTTTTACTGATCTTGTCCGTGTGAAACAACGCATTAAAGTCAAAAGTCATCAAGAGCGCACGTAAAAAAATGCCGTTAAGTATCATACTTTCGGACAAGTAGACCTAGCAGCGCAGCTAGTCGTAGGTCATGACATTGCAACGTCTCACAATAAAGAACTGGTGAGAAAAAACAGGCAAGTATTGTGTAGTGTAAGGTTATCTAGTGTATTTTGTCCTGTGAAACTCACGAACTCGCCCTTCGCGGTCATGAAAAGGGTGATTTGTCGGGGAACTGAGGTATTTTTCGCTAATGCTATGCAGGCTCTTCGACATTTTTTGCTCACTCTACAAAATGCATCTGCGTTTGTCACCGGAATACTCCATTGCCGTCTGAAACAAGGTGGAATTTACAGTCTCGACTAATTAGACCGTTTTCATTTGGAAAGGAGAGATCCAGCTCTGTCTTGAAGAAATTCAGTCTGAGCACTGGGACGATAATTCCATTCACGATGGTATTCTGAATGTATTAAAGAGCGAAACATTTCACTTCTTTTTGCACTTTTTCAACAAAGTATACACGCGCGTTGACGCTGTTTATGGGATCCTCTAACACAGAAGTACAACGCCCATAGCAGCCTAACAAATTCTAGACACGTTTAAAGTAGCTGTCGATGAAATGAGAAACAGTATACTTGTTCTATCAACAACACAGACAACAGAGAAACACGCTTCCAAGAGACGCAAACACAACAACACCAACGAAATTGCTGCAAAGCAGGCCTGTGACATAATAGTTACTCAAATTGTGACAGTTTCTTGAAGCAAAATAAAATCAATGCACTCTCAATCTGCGATTCATCCAAATTCCAGGAGTATCAAAAGTCGTTTCCAACAGTTCTTTTAGGATCGTTTACAGAAATATTACTGTTTTGCTTAAAATCAAATTACAAACAGAATTATAAGTATTACATTGCAATGAAATATCTAAATCTGCTCAGTGTCGTACATGTATAATCCAGGGCCTTTATTCAACTCTGAAGGACTACAAATTCGAGACAACATTTAGAGAAGTATGCAAAATACCAGAAATTGCACTGGCGTACATTTATGTCGATCCACAAGGACATCATTGACAGCATGCCCAACTTCGTCAACATAATAATGGACACTTTTGCTCCAGCCAAAGAACGAAAGGAAAGCTTCTTCTTCAAATAGATTTTCTCAAAACAGGTAGGATGAAGAAAACATCTAATTTACATGCCCTTGACTATCTTCAACCTGCTTTAACCTAATTGTGCACGCCCACTTTTTAGACCCACGAGCCGCCCCTGATAGATAGATAGATATATAGATAGATATATAGATAGATAGATAGATAGATAGATAGATAGATAGATAGATAGATAGATAGATAAATAGATAGAGAGATACACCCATTTCTTACGTAACTCAATATAGATGGTATACCTATTTCTCACGTAGCTAAATATAGATGGTACACCTATTTCTCACGTAACTAAATGTAGATGGTACACCTATTTCTCACGTAACTAAATATAGATGGTACACCTATTTCTCACGTAAGTCTGAACAGATGGAACACCCATTCCTCATGTGGTAACTCAAAACAAAGGGCACTTCCCTCCATCACGTAAAATACAATGACTGACTGAAACCGAATTACACTATCAAAATATTTTTTTTCTTTTTTTTTAACACTCATTCTTTCAAATGACTGTACAGTCTTCCGAGACTTACTTGGTGCCCGGGTACACGTTTCGGGAGGTGTCAGAGCAGTCTTTGCCACGCCAGGACGACCCACGCAAGCCCTGCACGGTGGACAAACCGACATATAGTTTAGTAGAGGTTTTACGACGCTCGCAACTGCTTGAGGGCGTATGAGCGCCAGACGATTAGACGTGTTACAAGAGAGTAACAAACATAAAAAAGAAGAAGGGGAGATCAGGGCGATAGATGTTTGATAGGAAAGAAGAAGCAAACCACACCAGAGCATCATGATACTTGCGGTCAAACGTGAAAATATCAATATTGTACTACATAAAACACAGATATCTATGTATATTCATAAGTTATTCATAAGTTAGTAATTTGATAAATGATGACATAGTAAAGAGTAACCAAATACAATTCTATTTGAAAATCAAAATAAATGACATAGGCACAGTGAATAAATGCCTCTTGGGCAGCTTTTTATGTGTCGAGCCCCTGATTCAAATGCAATCAATAAGGCCTATGCTGTTAAAAAGGTAAGATTGGAGCTTACAAGACGCGTCGATATTTCTTATTGAAATGTACTTAATTTTCAAAGACAAATATCATCACTTCTAGCTATTGGATCGCGAAAAAAGGGGCTGACATTGTGAAGAATTTTTTATTCTTTTTGAAACTATGAGTCAGAAATGCCCCTAAAATAAAAAATATCGGAACAAATGTTTCTGTTGTTAAGACCAGCAAATTATCACCATACGCTCTCGGTCGCCAATCACAAAAAACAATGAAGGTTCGGGTGGTATCACATTCACACCCGGCCACACAGTTCTACTGAACAGCCTAATACATCAGAGTGATTTGTTGGGGGATTTTTTGTTTGTTTTGTTTTAGTAAGCGTTTTACGGCACTTGGAACACAACTAGGCCATATAAAAGTCGAAGATTAGAGGTGCTACAAGAGAGTAATAAACGCAAAAAAAGAAGGAGGACGAGAGATAAGGACGATAGTTGTTTGATAGGAAAGAAGGAGCAAACCCCACCAGAGCTCCCGCCACCCGCTCACACGTAACATTATTTGTGTAAACAGAATAAGTATACAAACGTAACAAGAGTAATAATTTAGTATTCAGACGTTGCAAAACTGGGGTATATTTAATCTTTACCAAAAAATCTGTAGTTCTGAGCCAAAGCATAGCTTTCCGATGACATCGATTCGAATATTGTGTGGGTTCAAGCGTTCAAGTTCCTGCTGTCGCTCGCTCTGCTGCACTTTTCTAGCGCCAGTTTCTGTAAATTCTCTTTTATAATAACCAGTAATCAGGAAGGGATGTGTCTTCGAATAAATGAGGCCATTATAATAAATGTAGAGCCCAACCTTTATTTAGAGTTACTCACCTGAGAGATGCTAAACATATCATTGTCGAAGTCCACGGATGGTTTGCGCCCTTTAAATGCCCTGTTGAGAAGGGAGGCAAATAAAATGTAAAGGTATAAAACGGAAAAAACAACAGTCACATTACCATTAAGGTACAGAAGACCCAGCTGCCCCCC